ACAATTTAAAGAGACACTGAGAATGATCATGAAGTGAGCTCACCAGATTCAGAGGAGGTTGGCCTGATTGTTGACAATTTAAAGAGACACTGAGAATGATCATGAAGTGAGCCCACCAGATTCAAAGGAGGTTGGTCTTATTCTTGAAAATTTAAAGAATAACAAGGCTTGGAGTTCAGATGGCATACCAGCGGAGTTTTTGCAGATTGGTGGGTCAGCATTGGCTGAGGAGTTGACTCATCTGATATTTAATATCTGGGAGACAGAAAAAATGGCGGATAGCTGGAAGGAATCTGTCATCATTCCCTTACTCAAGAAGAAAAGTACTTCCACAGACTGCAACAATTATCAGGGCATTAGGCTCCTGAAAACTGCTTATTTTGTAAGCAGTTTTCAGGAGGTTAATTCCCCGATAATTGGTGCAGTCTGTGGAAGTACTTTTCTTCTTGATCTCCGAGTTTCTCATTTCGTGTGAATTCAGTGCTTAAAATGGCTAGGACACATTATCAGAATGGATGAAGGTAGAGTCGTGAGGAAATTATATTATGGAACCCTGGATGGAGTCAGAGGACATGGAAGATAAGAAGGGAAGGTAGAAGGACTCCGTGGCTGAGGACTTGATGATGGTGGGAGTATCCAGCAGACATGCTGCTGACCGAAATGATTGGGAAAGGGCATTTAAGAGGGCCAAGGGTAGCTTCAGGCACCTGTTGATCCAATAAATAAATAAAAACACGAGAAGGTTATCAATCTAGAGCTCGTGGGCACAGTAATGCGTCGTGCACGTGAGCAAACTTGTGTCCGCCTATCTTTAACATAACCTTTATCGGCTTGGAAACAGTAAAACTGTTGCTTGCTGCAGATCAGGGATGCCCAGAAGGGGGTTTCGTGGCACAAGTTGTGCCAACAAAATTTTTGAGGGCGGCATATTTTGAAGGGTTTTTGAATTTTTTAGGGGGACAAATTTCTACGAGTTATGAATTTTTTGACTAAGTGATAAGAGGAAAAACATGGAATATACAGAAGTTTTTTTTTTTTTTTTTTTTTTTTTGTCCTACCCTTCCTCGCTGTTAAGGCTATATGGGGTTTTCCCGGGCCAGAGAGCGAACTCTATGACTATTTTTATATCATTTATCATATATCAGGTTGCCGGGCAAGGGTGGTGCTGTGCACACTCGTTAGCCCATTCAGCCACTCCGCCCACAGCTAACTCATTTGAGTTATTTGCACTTATTTTAATTAAATTTGGAAAATTGCCTAAACAGTAACCTAGCCCCAATTTGCATTGAATAAAAACATGATGCTCCTACTAACTAACATATGACCTATAAATGCACCTACTAGTGAAAAAAGGTTGGGAACCCCTAATGTAGAATAAAGGAGCCAATATTGATTCTTGAGGCACTCCTGCTGACACTGGTCGAATTGAGGAATTTCCAAACCCTGTCGGACAGAGAAAAATTCGTTAAAAAGGAAAGACCAAAGAATGAGATAGTATGTATGAGGTAGTAAAGAGTAATATACACCTTTATTGGAAGTTGGTAAAAAATGACTTAGCAAATGAATGTTGAACAGTTAAGAGACGAGTTAATCTAGTTTTGCTAATGTAAGGGGATGTTAAAATTTGAAAAATAGTTTCACTAGTTCAGGAAAAAGAAAAATGGCTGCTCTGGAGTTTTCCCAAAGAGGAAAATGACTCCTAGAGGATGAAAAAAGCAGTTCAGTTGTTTGGCTGTGGTGAAGAGAGGATGGGAGAAGGGATACTGGCTGCAGTGGGTAAAACCCAGTAATAGTATTACCATTTTGGAAAGTGTGTTTGGCAGAACATTGAAAAGTGTTTGAAGGCAAATGAATTCAGGGCCACAAAGGAAGAAACAGTGTTTATAGAAAAAAATATTTGGTGTGTCCACTCACACGACTTTCCTACCTATTTCGGAAAAGTTTTTATATCTTTAAATATTTTCATGAAGAAAAAAAATAATTGAACTAGATACATTTTCCTGAAAATTGATCAAACATAAGATTTGAATACGATTTATTTGATAAACTAAAGCAATATAAACCGGCTTAAGGTAGATCAGTGTAAAAATTTCAATACTTCCTAATATTGCTGATCAAAAACTTTTTGCCATAGCTTAGTATTGTCAAAAAATAATTTCTGTTAAAAGCAGAGGAAATAGTGAAGACTGTGTGTGATGCGGGCAACAGATTTACTTACTTTCACTTAGTCATCTTTATTCCCTCATCCACCCCTTTCTGACACCAGGATATGAAACCGTAATCTTACATTGGAAATTGAATAGGTGTAACTTTGTTAATAGTTTTCCAAAATGAACGATTTTTATATGGCTTTGTAGGGAATTTCATTACCTTTCAAACGACAGGCTAAACAGCGTTTTCTGGACTCAGGGGGCTGCAAAATGTATAGATCCGTCAAAAACTGCATGTCGGAAATTTGACCCGATTGCAATACTTTCCTTAACTAGTATAGGTACGAAAGTAATAAGTTAAAAAATGTGTAAAAATAAATTAAGCTGTATCATCGCTAATACTGGTTCGATTCCGATGATTTTTTTTTTTTTTTCAATTTTTCTTTTCTTTATAACCTTTTTCCTGAATTTATTCCATATACGAAAATTGAAAGAACAATGATTAGAACATTATAGGAAAGTTTCATCAAAATCGTTAAGAGCCGTTTTTGCACTACAGTCTACAGAAAAACATGTTTTTCATTTATTGCGCACAAGCTATTGCGCATGGAGCACCAAATTTCTGTCACAAGCATCAGTAATCAAAATCCTACAAAATAAAAAAAGAAGCAATAAAATTGATTCAGTAGTTCCCGAGAAAATCTTAACACAGACAGACCAATGGCTGAAAATGTGTTTTTCGGACTCAGGAGGCTGTGAAAGGTATAGATCCGTCGAAAACCGCATGTCGGAAATTTGACTTACTTATTTGCAATACTTTCCTTACCTAGTATAGGTAGGAAAGTAAAAAAAGTTAGCTTACCAATTGATTCTTGACTTAATTTTAAAACCAGTGTTTAATTTTAGTGTAAATCATTTTAGTTTGTCTGAAAGTTTTGATCTGATTGTCAGTATTCTATATCTTCAGATAAAATAATTATAAAGTTCAGTTTAATATATTAATATTCTCATAATTTTGTTTTTTGTTCAACAACCTCTTATTTCTTTTGGAATTATTGCTACAATATGATTTAGTCATATGACTTAAAAAAAATCACTTAAAATAAGGACATATTACAATAGTTTTGAATTTGAAGGGAAGTACCTGGTGTCAGACTTAATCTGACCCAGACTCTGTTTAATTGGTGTGTAGCTAAATGAAATGTACGAAAACCGAATCGATGGTCAGGAATAATTTTTTGGTCTGTCAGTAGGATGATGGATTGAAAATGTCTTATTTCCTTTTGTGTATTATCTTGATATGTGAATATTTTCATTGTAATGGGAATCAAATTGTTCTCAGAATACAGTTGTATATTGTCGTAAAGAAAACTAGAGCTTTCCTAGGCATTTGCTGGAGCCCCTCAGCAGTTATTAAGTCATAAACATGGATTTTCCTTTTAGATATATATCTGATTTGTTCTGAGACTTCTGAAGAAGCGAATGAAAGAGGTCAATGAAAGTAGTCAAGAGTATCAAGTACTAAGTTTTCATGTTCTGCGTTTGTGAAGTAAGTATTGATGGAAGATGGTGGGAGGTGGAATGGCCGAATAGGCTAACGCGTGTGCCCAGCACCATTGAGATTAAAAAAAGTACGAGCTGGCGTCCCGGTGTCGGAAGGGAATTTGAATTTCCCGTTTTCACCCTATAGCCCGGAAAAATCCCATATAGCCTAAAATTGGAGGTAGGGAAAAACAAGGAAAAAAATGATGAAAGATGGTCAGCAAATATTCAGATATTTCTCTATCTGAGAAATCCTATGAAACATCTTTGTTTCGCAGAGGTACTAACACTTCTCGATGTTTTAACAAATTCATGTTATGCTTCGACAAACTTGACAGTTGACAGATTGTTCAAGTAAGCATCATAATTACTGAATTTTTGTATAAGTCGTTTAAGTTCTGTATTCAATTGTTACATGTTCGCCTATCTGAGAGAAGTCTTTAAGTCTGCCATATCTTATGGGTTCTTCTCTTTGCCATGATCAAGCCCCTTATGTATTGAGGATATCTTGGCAAGTATTCAGCTCTTGATGACCATGGTCGAGATGAAGACCAAGCTACTTTTTGGACATTTTTTGTAAATTTGTCCACTGCCTCTTCAAGATCTGCTGTTTTAATAGAGCCAGAGATTGAAAATTCTGAATTCAGAATTGTCCTGTAAGCATCCCAATCCATTTTACCATTAATGAGCTTAGAGTTCAGTCATTTGGTTGAACTGAAAGTAGTCGATCCAGGAAAAAATTGATGAAGAATGTTTCTCGGCACCTCTGTATGTTTTTTGGGGTGCTGAATCTGAAAATCGAGTTATCAACTACATTCGGATATGGCTTCACCATAAAAATGGCAACATAAGAAACATAAAATTTTGGAAGTTGTTTGCTTATGACTGAAACAACGCATCTTAGAGAAAAATCACCTATATCAAAAAGAAAGCTGATAAAATTTTCTTAAAAAAAAAAAAAGAAAGAAAGAAATATCCTTTATTGTCAATTTTCTCTCCAAAACCCATCATCTAATGCTAATGGATCTTTCGAATAAATTCATTATAATCAATTTAGAACAATTTGGCCAAACAATTAAAAATATTATTTTTTAAAAATTTAGTATTTATTGACCGCACCTCCGACCAACTCCTTCTCATATTTTATCATGGTCAACCATCTCTACATCATCATAATTTACTTTTTGTTTTCTTTGACCTCGTGTTTTACATTTATTTCAGTTATACTCCATTATTGAGAATAATTGATACACTTCAATATTCCTGATAACTTCGTCCATTCATTTCATTAAATAAGAAAATAATTACCGGCAAGGTATAAGTTTCAATAGCCTTTGTAACTTCAGCAGTCCAATTAACGCTACTTCCACAAATCACAATCATTCCAGGCCACGAAAGTACCCATTTCTCTCTAGGTTCGAATGTATAGGCCTGTATAGCATCTTTACAAATTTCTTTTAAAGATGATATCATAACAGCTTCAACTTTTATCAACCACTTCTCAACTAAACCCTGTAATAAATTTTTTTTAGAAAAAAAACAATTTTCAAATAAAAGAAAAAAATATGAATAATGAAATAGACAATTGAAGTCAATTGTAAAAATTGTATCGAGTCATTAAAAGCAGACTAGATTATTTTGCATATAAGGACACTGTAAAACTACTTTACTTGATGATTTATGAATTAATTTCAGTAAACATTGGAACACATATATTGTCATATACCCTAAACCCTTCATAGGACGGAACTAATTTTGCTCGACTTTGAAAAACATTATCATTTACTTTTAAAAATTTATGCGAGAAAGTACCAGGTGGGACTTATTTATCACATTCTTTGCCATGTGATAAAAATATTTAATCATTGTACAATGTTTTACCATCCAATGGTCGATTTATTAGTTAATTAAAATAAAAACTCAACCTACCCTCAAAATTTGAGAATTAATAAATGAGTTTTTAATACCTAATTAAATAGACAAACTTTGTTGTCTTCCAGATTGCATTTGCCCCATTTCCGAGAATTTTCGTAAATAAAATATTTATAGGTTACTATGAGATGAAGCTATTTACGAAGTTTCAGGCTGATGTAAATAATTTGAAAAAAAAAAGGGTCTGTACTACGGAATATTAATTTCTATAATGGAAAATTGTTATTGGTGATATAAAAAGTTAGGTTGAAGGAAAGTTATTTGAATAAATTTAAAGTACACCATTTATTATGGCTAAATCATATTTTTTATCATTTAGATCATGGGGACATCAAGTTTGATTTTGAACATATATTTCTGTTGTTTTTTTATATTGGAAAATTTAAGTTTAGTTTTCATATAACAAATCAACAGTTGAACCACCCTAATGAATTTCTGGTTTTAATGTTAAATCTTGTGTTTCTCAAATAATCAGAGAAATAAGAAGGTTAGGAAATTAAAATTTTACTGAAGTGTAACAAAGATCCCTTTGGAACAGCAGATTTAATATATTGAGCAAAATAGCACCCTCTCACAGTAAGCCGAGCATATAATTTCCTTAGATATCCCCTCTAACTCACTTAAAAAATTTAAAAAAAATTAAATTAAATTTAAAAAAATATATATATATATATGCAATATTACAGTCACAAGAACATGCTGCACACTGCAACAGCACTAGAATAATATAGATCAAAATATATATATATAATTTAAATAATATACATTTTTAAGGAATTTCATAGAATTAATTTTCAAGTACACTCTCAAATTTAATTTCTAAACATAAACTTCTCACTTCCAGTGACGTTTGAATTGAACAGTTGGGGACTTGATATGATGAAATCAGAATTGATTAACAAATTGTTAAATACGTCTCAGCTACTAGTGGAACTAGTTAAGTTTAACTTGCCTTATAATCATAAGGATAATATTCAACTTTTTACTTTGATCAAAAGTAAAATATTATTTACTTAAATATTATATTTTGAATAGTATTAGGTTGGCAAATAAGTACTTTTGATTTTTCTGTTTATTTTTATGTCACTATGATACACTTCTTATCAGATGAATTAATCCCTAAGGTGGATTATTCATCCTGTTTGCAATATGTCAACAACTATATCTGTTAATTCTTATTGAAACTAGCTTAATATTGTTTTTGCTATTGCATTTAAGAAAATATCATTCATTATCGGCATACTTTGTAGTATTATTTTAAAAAAGGTAAGAGTGCTGCAGAAGGTCATAGAGCCCCACCCTTCCTATCCACCAGACCTAGCTCCAAGTTACTACCACTAATTCCGGTCTTTGCAGAACTGCATGAATACAAAGAAATTCCAAAAGGAAGAGAGCATCAAAAACCACTTGGATCAGTTTTTTAACAATAAACTTCAGATATTCTATGAACATGGCATTATGCAGTTAATGGAAAGATAGAAAAACGTCATATTAAATAATGGTCAGTATATTCTAAATTAAAATAAATTTTATGTCTATAATACATAGAGTTTAATTCACCCTGAAAAACCGAAAGGACTTATTTGCCAACCCAATAGTAACTGTTCTGTTCTCATATTGATTTATTTAAAACAAATATTTAACAAATAAAATGTTCTTTTATAAATATGATTCTAAACTCAAAAATAAAATCTATAAATAAATTTATTTAAAGATAATCGATAAATCAATCACTGGCTTAATATTGATTTAATAAAAGTGAAGAAACAAGCTTAAAAATATATACTATATTTATTTTTACCTTTGAAGTTCCTAAAACTACAAAGATAAAATTTATATTTATTTATACCAATGGCTTACCATCAAAAGAAAAAAATGTAAAATATCACTAGAATAAAACATATATTCCATAAAATAGAAACATGGTAAGTATTTGTAAATATAAGGCAAATGCCTACTTCTGATTTTGTTTTTTGAAGTTAGTCCTTTAGTTTTTTTTATGTAAACTTTGAGTGATATTCAGTTTATTCGATGCAATTAACCTTTTATTAAAACAGTCATTTATAATCCATATTTAACAAAAGTAAAACCACAGCTAATAAATTAAGCCTAATACACACCAGTAGACATACATGCTGCACGAATTTGGTCTCTGAGACGAGTCTCAGGTTGTCTATATAGACATATTTATAGACCAATCCCTGTCTACAGGTCAGTTGCGAGGCCAAAAATCGCAGACTTAAGTCTCCTAATCGAAATGGGAGATCGAATGCAACGTTAGACATGTTGTACAACATTTTGACAGTGTAGACGTCACTCACCATCTAGAGAAGAGATATATTCCATTCTCTCTCCAGCTATTTCAGTTTCTCTGAGTGGTGTTGTTCGTTTGTTTATTCCTCCAACCACTAGAAGAACAAATCTTTAAAATCAGTTGGTGTCAGCAAGAAATTCTGAAAACCTATTATGGCATCTTTCAGTCTTAATTTATTTAATAATGCATCAATGAACCTAGTTTCTTCTGCGAGCAATTCGCACATCCATCAATGTTTACATTTTCACATCCTTACACTTGTAATTAGCCGAATCCTTATATTTTCCTCTGTGGACATTAAGGGTTGCACATTTGTGTGTTCCTAACTTCATCCCAATATCTTCAGTGAATGAACATATCAACTCAAGAAGAGTTCTCATGTCTCTCCCGTTCTTTGCATAGAGCTTTAAGTCATCCATACAAAAAGAGTGAGAAATTATTGTTTTCTGATTCCGGGAATAACCTTTTTCAGATTTATTTAAAATAGAGCTTACAGGATTAATTGCATGGCAGAACCATAAAGGGCTTAACAAATCCCCCGAAATATTCATCTTTTTATGGGAATGTTCTCTGAGATGACGGGCTTCTTTTTAGTTGGATGTACCAATGATACTTCCCATAGCTTCATAAGTCGTTGCAATAGTTCTATTACTTTTTGATCGACCTTAAAAATCCTGAGAATTTCAATCAACCAGTCATATGCTTTCTGATAGTCAATGCGAAAGAGTCTAATGCTTTCTGACAGTCAATCCACTGTTTATGCTAATGAATTATTATTATTAATTATTCTATAAAAATGAATAATTAATTTTCTATTGTTTCCTTATATTAAATTAACACATTTTGAAATTAAAATTGAAAATTAATTAAAAGCGACATGGGCTATAACTATTTATAAAATAAGTTAAATGCAGTTTTACCAACAGTTACATTAATTTTTTGTTACAACCAAAGAAAAAGATTAATCAAAACAATAGTAATAATATTATATACATAAATGAATTATTTTAAAATAATTTTTGAAGAGAAGAATGGTTGGAATGATCAGTCAGAATAAAATAGTAAAAATAAATAATTGTATTTATTTTCACAATCGCCGACATTTTGGCCCGAAGTTCAGGCCTTCATTAGGGCTAAGAAAAGAACCAGATAACAATAGGTATAAGAAACAATAAACATTGAATAATAATGAATTAAAATTAAAAAAATGAAAGGTATAGACTAAAAATTTAGGCAGAAAAACTTAACGTAAAATGAAGTAGATAGAGTGAACATTGTGTTAGATAGAGTGAATTAAAATAAAGTAAGTAGAATAATAATAGTTACAGAGAACTAAGAAATAAATAATAATGGTGACAAAGCACGGACCAATGAAATAAATATAATCAAAATAAGATAACATAATAAATGAAAAATGGTAATGTTAGAATAAAGTGTAAAACAGAGAAAATAAAATATGAAGTTATATATGGAAATTCATTCATTCATTATTAGCACAACAGACACCTGCTCAATTTCCTTTGCCCAATCATCCCTGTTGGCTGCGCACCTGATAAATATGCAGTATATGGATATAATGGATATAAGGAAATAATAGATACAAATATAAAATTAAGATATTGCAAAATTTATCAAAATACTGACTAGGTATAAGAGAATAAAAAGTTAAAATAATGTAAAAAAAATGAATGAGCAGATGTATCAATACATACAAAATAGAGACAGAGATATAGAAAATAGAGTGACGGGAAGGAGGATGGGATAGAGAAAACTAAAATAAGAGAAGTAAGGGAACATGTGTGATGGACGAGAGATTTATTATAGATAATATTAAATTTATTTATAATACAATATCTGATCTACGTGAAACATGAGATTAAAGAAAACAAAAATGAATTTATTTAATGAGATTAAAGAAATAGAAAACTGAAGGTTGAATGGAAATGAGTAAGTCTATCTATGAGGTAATTAAGGAGACGGTGAAATGTAGAGTTAATAAACATTAAATAATAGTGGAGTATTAATGTTCTATGTGGAAAGCGTGATGATGTAAAAGGAAAAAGAATAAAAAATAAAGAGGAAGAATAATGTAATATAGAATAAAATAAGGATAAATATAGTATAATATAAAATAGAAGAAATTAAGGAGACATCATAATGCAAAGATAATAAATATTAAGTAATAATGGAGTATAACGGGTCTACGTGAAATGTGAGATAAAGAAAAGGAAAATGACTTAAATTAAAAAGAAATAAGGAAGTTACCAGCAGAAAAAAGAATTTAAAGAAAAAAATGCTATGGATGTTTTAATAAATTCAAAATTTGGGAATAGGCTAATTATAAGTTTTGTTTTTCTGTTTTTTAGATTCACTCTCAGGTTGGAGTTGAATATGGAGGGTTTCAGAGATGAATCATTTGTCATGGTTAGGAACAGAGGCAAGGATGGAAGTTTTGTCAAAATCAAATGTATGGTTTAGAGAGGGAGAATGTTCAGATAATTTGGAAGCGGTAAAATTACGAGAGAATACAGAATATTTATGCTGGGTGATGAGGTCTTTTAGAAGATTTTATTTTAACTGATCACCCCAAACATCCTTATCTTCAATTATTCACTACAGTAAACCAATAACCTACAATTAAAATAATTTTTATTATTATTATTGAATTTATTAGAATGGTAAGACTCACCATAAGCGAAGTGAGATGCATGGTGCAAATTGGAGGAGCAAGATCGGCAGAATTCACTTCTGGAAAAGGACTAATGCAGGGAAATTCACTGGCATTTCTTCTCTTTGATTTAGCTTAAGAGAAGTCCATTAGAGATTCTGGTATTCAAGTGGGGGGAACAGTATCCAGCCGAATAGTGCAACTTGTAGTAGATAGCCCAAGTATTTACTCCTTTATGTGACATTGTGTGAGAGAATGAGAAGGAATATATAGGAATGTGAGGTTGCACGATGAATTGTACGCAATTGTGCAGTGGACAAATTATTTATTGATAAGTCTCATATCGATAAATAATCGATGAAGAAACAAGGTTGAAATAGGACGGAGCAGGTAGCAACAGCTGGAGAAGGACGCCAGCGAGAGAAGAAGGCACTTCAGGCTGGGACATTAAGGAAGAAGGTTACCTGAGAAGAGAAATCTACTACAAGATTAAGAAGATCAAGATTAAAGTTATAACACTTTGATAGTCAATTTATTACAGTTGTAGAAATAAACTATTTTGTTATACAGGAGTGAAAAATCATTTATTTATTTAGTTGTCCTACATGCCTCACGATTGAAGAATAACAAACCAGGTGAGTCAATTCATTCAAAGTGTGTTTACTAAGTCCCACATTTCAGATACATATATTCTTATTGTTTCTTGTCACTCAGTGTCACAAAAGCATAGTGGAGCTCGGGAGCTCTAGGTTGGGAACCCCTGCTCTAGATGGTCTATAGATAAATCGTGCAACATGGTCTACTATGTGTACTAAGCTTTATAATGTGATCAGTTTAAGCTATCTAAATAATTTTTAATAATTTAATCATTTTCACACATGTTAATTATAAAATATGCCATGTCAATGTAAATTAAGAAAGCACGTTTACTTTAGCTTCTGCTGGTTTTATAATGTTTGTATAAGGAACAAACTCTCCTTCACCAGATATCATACCAATAATTTCAGTTTGGTTATTAAACTTTAACAGAGCTATTCCTTCAAAACATTTCTTTAAATGAGGTTGTACCCTGAGAGGATCTTTGGTTTCAGATAATATCTCAAGAAGTTCATCATTAGACAAAAAAAAGAATCTGAAAAAATATATCAAAAATTAATGACCATAATAATGTTAATTATAAAATTAAATAAAAAGGATTTGATTTGGCTGAAATCAGAATCAACTGGTGACTTTTTTTTTTAAATTTATCAATAGAATACTTTATAGAGGCTGGATATGTCCCAGGAAAGGGACACACAATTGATTTAACAAATAAATGCCACAGCCAGAATCAAACCCTAGACCAGGAGAATAATTACTGAGACCGTTCCCCTGCTTGCTCTAGAGGACCCAGACAAAAATTTGAAAATTCAACATACACGTTTTTAAGACATAAAACTCTATTATAAAAATATTGAAGGAAGTTAGTCGACTGTTCTACATATCATAGGTGATAAATAGTCAGGACCCAGTCATTTTAAAGGTTTTTACAGGTGTAGACGTTTCAACCCAAGCATGTGGGTCATCATCAGGGCTGAAAATTGTTTAATACAATCCGAGATACTTTTATATTTTTAAATAATTCACAATAAATGTTTGATCCATTCATTCAATCATCAAAAACTTAAGTCAACTTCCAGTCATAGGATATTTCATCGCCCACACAGTCCGACCAGCATCGAAACTTTTCCGAGACTTTCTGTCACTTAGCTTCTTTTGAGTGCTTAGAGCGAGCGACTTCCAGATCTCGAGATAGGTCTCGCTTTTTTCGATCAGGCCATCCTCATTCGATGAAACCTAACACTTTCAGGAAATTAGAATGTTAATTGATTTCTTGCCCTAATGCGAATGAATGAGAAATGCTTTATAAAATATGCATAAATTATAAATTTCCAAAATATACAGAACATTTATATGGCATGATTATTCGTCTGCCATTCTTGCCCAAATGTGCTTTTAGTTAATAGCAATGAGTAGTATTTCTTTCCTGAAGACCTCCGATCTGTCGCATTCAATGTTTAACAGTAACCGTTGCAACATGTCTGCTGCTGAATTGTCTACTCCTTTAATATAATTGATAGTGTAGTTATTTGCACTGAGGGTAAGAACCCAACGAGTCATCCTATAAGCTGTCATTTTCGGAAGTTCTGCATGCTTTCCAAATAACCGAACCAGTTGTTTATAGTCCGTTTTAAGAATGAAATAGTTGCCGAATAAATATTGGTGGAATGAGGTTACTGCGAACACTAACCCGAGTACTTCTCAATCTATTACTGAATAGTGTTTTACTAAAGGTGAGTGAGTTATAATGTAAAAGTGTTGCCGATAATGTTAGTGTTTCCTTTAAGAAGTAAATACTGTTTCTTCTCTATCTGCCCAACTCCATTTTACTCTTTTTCTTAATAATCTGTATAACAGATTACATGTTCCTAGGAGATTTGGAACGAATCTTTGATAATAATTAATAGATCTGAGGAATGAAAATAGCTCCTTGAGATTAAGTGGTGAGAGCATTGATTATGTTGCTTTTATATGTTTGCTCTTGGGTGAATACCATATATATATATATTGTAACGTTCCCTATGTCAACATAAATCAAACAACGAGTTTCCTTTTTCAGTTTACTATTTATTTTACACATATAACATAAATTCTCAGGTTGGGTTCTGACAACTGAACACTCATTCAACATTTAATAACTACAATGTACACTAATTTACTAATTACTAACTACACTTATTTTTAATTTAAAATATTTTATAAAATAATTTGTCCCAGTCTAAACTTTTGGTTCTATCCCTCTGTCAACATAAATGGCATTGTTAGCACTCACCCAAATGTTTACGCCTGCCAGCGAAATAATCTCTTCTTACTTACGAATGTCCCGTTTTCTGTACCACTTAATTATTTTCTGCTATGTTGTTTTCTTCCAACATAAAATAATCTTCACTAGTGGCCTCTATCAACACTCGAACCGGCTAGGACTCCTTTTTCTATTTTCTCAGCTTGCTGGCTAGTACCTTCTCTCTTGACAGCTTGTCACATTTTCTCTTGGCCGCTATCACCTTCCCTCTTGGCGGCCCGTCGCAGTCTGAGTTACATGAGGCTTGCTTCCCCCACTTCCTCACGCACTTTTTCCCCGCACTTTCGCGCCACTATTTAAATGCCATGTAATGTTGACATTACAATATATATATGTGTGTTTGTTTAATTTCATATCTGCCATAGACAGTCTATCAAAAACTGCCTCGAGACGTTTGAGGTGTTCTTCTTCATTTTTTCCACTAATATTTAGATTATCCAAGAAGCATACTACTCCTTCTAGTCCTGTCATCTTTTGATAGATAATCTGTTGAAAATTTTCCAGTACGAAATTTACTCTAAATGTTAGCCTTTCATATTTAATACAATCTAAGTGTGTTGAATTAAAAAATATTTTTGTGAATTTTCACCTATTGTATCCGTAAATACGCATAAAACATATCAAGAACAGAAAAATCTTTATCTCCTTGAAGCGTGGCTATAACTTTAAAACACGATATTGGGTGCTGATAACTAGAAATGTGAGGATTTAATATTACCTTAAAATCTGCACTAATCCGAATTTTACCTCCTGGATTGATGAAAATTACAATGGAGCTTCTGGTAAGAAAACCTCTTCAAATTTAGAAAATAACTTATCCATTAAACCATTAAATTTCTTATCTTCAACATTTAGTTTTAGATGACAAATACGAACCCCTTTCAGGTAGCGGTAGATTAAATTTTAAAACCCAGTCCATACCGAACAATGCAGTTTTATCTTCTAATATAACAGTAACAGTCAGATTGAGTTTCTTTCCGAAAGCATTAATCTCAACTTTAGTTTTTCATAGTATTACTAGCTGTAAATCTGTGTACGCAACAAGATTATGTGTGGGGCGAAATTCCGCTGATCCCAATTGCAGCAATGTTCGCTTACTAATAACAGACTTATCAGAGCTCCCGGATTGTATAAAATTTCTAGCCTTTGGAAATCTGAATTCATGTTACCACAAAGTTTTAGGTCAAGCATCACTTTTGTTCCATGAGAAACATTTCGTACTTTACTCAGATACGAATTTGTGTTCGATTCATCAGAACTACTGTCGTCGTTTTTGACATAAGTCATTTGCGTGAAGAATAGTGGTTGGTTACTTTGGCCCATCCTGCTTTGATACAGACTTTTGCGATATGATTTTTTCAATTACATTCAAAATAACTTTTTCCTTCAGCTGGACATGGTCGATTGTACTTATGAAACAAATTTCCACAATTAAAACAGTGTTTTTCCTGAACTAACCTCAATATGTTGCTTGACGGTTTCCTAGTTCTTGATTGTACTCAAGATATTGAGGTCATTACGGTAATCTCTGATGTTTCCAGTTTGCGATGAGCACATTTAGTCCTATCAAGTAACTCTGCTGTAGCTACAAAGTTTGTAAAATTATAATCTACATCCTAGTGCCATTCTAAGAGCTTTTCCTGCCAGTATTTGTCATTGATCCATAAAATTAATTAATCTCATAATTTTTCATCTAGAGAGTCCCCAAATTTACACTTCCCAGCAAGTGATTTTAATTTATTAATGGAAAAAGTAATGGATTCACCTTCCATTCTGTGACATCTGTTGAAAATTACTCGCTCACTGAGTGTGCAATATTATTTTATATAATATGAATGTAACGTTATTAATAATTTTTTTTAAGAAATTTCACTCATCTTATTTGATCTGAAGTGATCAAAAAGTATCTTGAAAGATTTCGGGCCTACATTGGCCACAATAAATGTTTGATCCATTTATTAAATCATCAAAAACTTATGTCGACATAAAAAGCATATATCTTTTTAAAATAAAACGATTTAGGTCATTAAATTGGAACAGAAAATATTAATAAATTTATACTCTGTTAAAAAATATATGACTTAGGATATGCTACAGATACAATATTATAAGACAGATAATGGTTAATAATGAACAAACAGTGATGTATGATACATTGAATAGGGAAGTGAAATATATACTAAAGTAAAACAAACTAAAAAATAATGTATATAATTAATTTATAAGAAATATAATATTTACTCTTACTAACCGTTATTTGAGCACTAAGGTGTTTAAGTATCAGCACTTAAGAAAGTAAATAAGAGTCGGTGGAGGATTATCCAGATGTGCTTTTAAGATTGTTAAGGTAGGTAAACAAATTCAGAGGAGGGTAACATTTTTGTTTGTGGAATGCAAATCATTTGATAAATAAAATATTCGAAATAACATGTGTAGAATCACTATGGGTACCCGAGGGCAACAATCGGACCATTACAGAGGTAAGTGAAGTGGTTAATACTAATCCCGATCAGGTGCAGTAAGAGTGAATAAGAGTTAGATCAGCTACTGCCATTTATCTAAAGAATGCAGTATCAGAGCTGGAACAGTTTGGGGGAGAACTTGGTCACCTCAACTATTTTCTAAAACGAGGGAATCAAATACAGTCTGATTGAGGCGAGAATTTGTGCCAGATGGGTGGATTTACTCGATGCCACGTAACTTAGAGCATCTCTGGTTGGAAGTGTAAGGAGAAATGTCCTTAATGGTATATATATAAGCCGTTGAGCTGACACCTTGGGAAGAGGTCACTAAAAGACTGAACGAGGCACGCGGGGGAGGACGCTGGACACCTAAAGAAGTTGTCAACAGATTGTTCACACAGGTAAGAAAATCTGGGCAGTCGGATTATAATTATGTTGAAATAACGTTAAATGAATATACAGCCATCTCCAAAAACTTGTCGAGACAATAGGAAGAATAGAGATGGCTCAACAACTAGCAATTTTTGAGAAGATCCTAAAGATACAATTGGGATGAAACTTGATGATAAAAGAGAAATTAGCCTCGGAAAAATCTTTCATCGAGTGTGGATGAGAAATAATGGACAAGAGAGCAAGAGAGCAGGAAGAATTAGAAGGCCAACCGTGGAAACAGGTACCTTTCAGAAACAGGAGGACCTATGGGGAACGTATTGAACCTAGACCATAAACGTGGGGGATCCCCAAATTGGAACCCAGAAGAAGCCGTAA